GGCTGCTTGTCATTCAGACAGCGCCCAGAGTCTGACGAAGCGTCATAACCTGCAGACGCAGCAGCACGCTCCTGTGTCAGTGCCAGGGTCTGTAAAATTCCTCAAACACGTGAACGGAGCATCCTTTCAGAACCAGTTGATCAGTAAGACAATTCAGGAAAACGAGAATTGCTATAGATTATAATACAAGGCCTTTGACAGAGACTAGAGTGCAGACCTGAACTGCCTCTAGTCAGCCTTGAAGTCCTTCCCCCGCCTGTCTGGGCACAGAAGACAAAAGCAGTCACAGGAGCATCTGGGTAACAGCTCTGCAGCCCCGGGACCTGCAGACACCTTGCAACTTTGCAAATGACATGTAAGGCCTCCTAGCAGGAGGCGCTCGAGCAGCGTGTGCACACCTAATGAAAACACTTCCTTTACGCAGATTCTCCACGCACAGCCCCGAGTCCTAGTCCATTCGTGGATGCAGTCTCTGTCTTGGCTGCCTTTGGAAATTTTAAAGGCTAGAAAATGACCTCCTGGAGAGAATGAACAACAGCAACATTAAAAGGTAAACTCGATTTGACAACTATTACTGGGCATCTGTCCCATGCCCGGCATTGCAGAACCCTGTGAAAGGAGATGCAAAGATGAATGAGACAGGCTCTGTCTGCAAGGAGCTTATGGCCTAGTCGTAGGGAGATGAAATGTGCATCTCTCCTGTCCTTAGTCACACACCTACATTGTGCCTTATGTATTTCATGCTTCTTAATTCAACATCGCCTTTAATTCTCACCACATCCTTGGGGAGGTAAAACAGGGATGGCTGTTCTCACTTTCAGAAGAGGATATTAACACCCAGAGAGACCAAGTGCCTGATTCAGGGCCCCACAGAAGACATGGAGGCAGAGCGGGAGGGACAACGCAGGTCCCCCTGACTCTGGGCTGCTGCTCCTTCTGATGATCCATAGAGAAGGCATGTGGCGGAAACCCAGCGTGGCCTTGTGGCCTCACTTTCGACGTAAAAGGCAACAAATGAGTAAAAGACACAACAAAATGAGGAGAAACTAGGGCAGAATGTATTAACAGATGAAAATTTTTAGAATCAGAAATAAATGAAACATTCTAGCCTTACCAACTACTTCCTAAAGAAAATGATAGAAGGTTTTCTTCTAGGAGAAGAAATGGTATTCTAGCACCACACGGTGGGGTAGAGAGTTAAGGGTGACATCCTAGGGAAATTTTATTTCTCTGAAGAACCCATACTTCTGCAACTTTTTATTTCTCCTGAAGTAAATTCAGGGTAATATCTGCCAATATTAGTTACCTTTGATGAGAAATGAGAAATAGATACATGATATCTAATACTTTGTGGTAGACTCGATTCTCTAGATTATTTGGGGACAAATCCACACCTTTTTGCTTCACTGTGCCTTTTCTGTTTTCTATAATTGAAGTAGTGTCCCAGGTTAGTCTACCATGTGAGGAAAAATGCATTTGTTACCATGTTTGAGTGTATTTTTGAAATGAGTACAATTTCCTGCTCATCTTTTTAAAGCTACTAATTAAAATAATCAGGTTGCCACAATAACACTACATTCTTCCTTAAATGGACTCAACAGACACAGGGTGAAGCAGATGATGAAAGATCCTCTTGTCCAAGCCCTTGATTTTGTGATGTGAAAACCAAAGACAACAAAGGTAAGAGTTAACTGGCAGAGTCAGATTACAGCCCAGGTTTTCGGACCAGCAGACTCATCTCATAGCTAGAGAAGGCACCAGGCTGAGTTGCTACTCTGTCTTTAAGCACCATAGTGGTCACCTTGCTGTGGGTCCATCAAGTCAGGGGCCACACACACACCTCCTCTGAACTCACCTGGCTCAGGCTGTGCCATAGCCAGTGAGAGGAGGCGGCAGGCACACAATGTGGCCTCCAGGACCACAAGCTGAAACCAGCTCTGTCTATTCAAACTGTTTACCAATCCATTACCCAGAGCCCACCTTGACTTGCTCAAATTCCCACCGTGGAGCCCAGGTGGCAAAAGCTAGTCAGCAGAGGGAGGAAAGGAAATCTGGAAACTGAAGCCAGCAAAAAATGTCCCACAGGAATTGTCAATAAGCAGAAATGCTACAGAAATGTCCTGCATGTTGTGTGCTGACAGAGAGGGTGATGGAGACTCACTGGAATAGGAAGGTGACAGGATGTGCACACAATGATGTCACACCAGGACAACTGGAAACCAACCACAGATCCCTACATCCACTCACATGTGCAGGGAAGGTAAGATAAGGCAAATGAGCGAGTGGGGAGAACTTCCTTTGGCACATCAGGGTCTGAATTTTATATTATAATCATTTCAGGAGAAAAGACCAAATACCTGAGCCATTTATACCACCCACATATGCCCCTGACGAAGGGAGAGTCGGAGAAGCTGGGATTCCCCGTGCGGCCCTCTAACTGGAACTGATGACCAAGGGCTTTCCCGTGTGTGAGCACATCTGAAGTAACAGGCTGCAAAGCATCCAACTGTCCAAGCAAGAGCTAAGACTTAGGGTGCTTTTTGGATTAGGACTAACAGCCACCAGGACACAATCTGAATAAAGAGACCTTTGTTTTCATATCAATCCATTATCTATTCCAATGACTTGGTCCTATTCAACCTAATATTGCCTGTATGCACGTATGTGTGTATGCCTGTATGCACATATGTATGTACAATGCAGCTATCAAATCAGATGATACCACCTTCCTGTAAATCTCTTTATTACAAGAGAGGGATTCAGTACACCAGTCTCTTCCTTCTGTGAATTCTCTTTACCAAAGGTAAAACAACCCCAGCATATTGTAATTTGCTTTGTGGTTCTTTTCTAGCTACTGTAAGAGTTATACGTGACTTGTGAGGGATGCCTGCTTGAGATCATTAGAAAAAGAGGGCACTGGGGCTTGAGACAAGGGAAGTGAGGCTGATAGGGAAAGCAAGGTTAGAGTTCTTTGAGGGAAGATTTGGAAGAGGGGAGGGAGCCAGGCCAGGTAAACCTGGGCTTTGACTCATCCTGCGACTGTGTGTCCTTGGCATGAACTGGCACAGGGCAAGCTGAGACCGGGGAAGAGAACTGAGCAGCACCTGTCTATCGAAGCCACTCGGCATCTCCGAAGCCACTGTGGGCCCCAGGAATCAGAAATCAAGACCCTGAGTCAAAACCAGAGAGGAATGGGGTGGACAGTCAGATGCAGGAGATATTTCGTTGTCATGTTTTATCTGCAATGAGCAAAATGGATTACAAGCAGCTCACTGAGATTATGGAGAAGACAGACTAGACGTTTCCAATGAGCTAAGGATGGTTCTTCGAATTTGAGTCATATAGGACCCATTTTTGTTTATTTAAGATGTGTAAGATGAAATTTTACATCGTTTATTTAATGTGCTATCATTGTTTTTATTTTAATTAATATTTCATAATTGTCATGGCCTAACTGGTGGTGAGGCCCAATCCCACTTTTCCCAATTAGTGAATTCTCCTACCACAGGGATTTCAGGAGCCTGGCCATCGTGTGACCCTATCCAACGGACGGTCATTACCAAGGACCATGCAGCAGACCCATGACGGCCTCTATAATGAAGTGAGACCCGGGAACTCTTCGCCTTTTTCTCTTCTTCTTTGCTCATTAGCTAACTCACATTTTATAGGTTTCACATGTTCTGGTCTGAGCCCTACAGGCTCCCCTTCTCTCTCTCTGAAACTCTTCTTGTAGGGTGCTAGCCAGCCACATGCCCAGGAGGGCCCGCCCATCAGTTGGCCATGGGTGAGAAACGCACAATGCATGCCTCCAACCAGTGAGGCAAAGGGGCCCTGGCTTTATTTTGTGAAATGGGGAAGCGGGTATAAATTCTACAAACTTGCACTGAAAACACACAGATAACAAGTACGTTTCCTGTCAGCAGGATGCAATTTAACAACACAATACTAGGAACTAAAACATCAAAGGGCATGAGGCAAAACACCTCCTGAATCAGGCTGAGAAAACACTCTCTGACCAGATACCAGTGTTACTTACCTCCAGGGGGCACCTGCTGTTTACCTCAGGGAAGTACCTGCTGTTTACCTCAGGGGGCATCTGCTATTTATTTCAGGAAAGCACCTACTGTTTACCTCAGGGAAGTACCTG